GAATCGACGGACAGTTTATTGATCTCAACTTTTCACTCTTGGTTAATCGGCTGTCCTGCCCGCGTTTTTTGTTCCGCAAATTATCATCTGAAGTGCGGGATCTTAGCCGAAGGTAGACCTTCAGAGTGAATCAGAGCGGGATCTTAGGGGTGACTTTTTTATAGTAAAAATTCTGTTTTCTTAAAACAGCGGGATCTTAAGCGAACCGGGATCGTAAGCAGTGGGATCTTAGGCGGAGACTACTGTATAATAATAGCAATAATAATAATAATGGATAGGTTAAGTTCTGAGCACCGTGCATTGATGACATGATGACTGAAAATATAACCTCATACACACAAGAAGAAACATTTCATATTTTAAACAGGACAACCAGTTTAATCACTTAAAGAAGAACTTTCTTAGCCTGCATTAATTATATACCCATAAGGACAGCAGTGCAAAAATGTCACAAATGATATAAAAAGGAGCTGTATCACATGATCACAAAAGTTATAATTGTGTTTGAAGTACTGTCTTACATTTGTGTTGATGATCAGTCAAGCACAGTTCTGTGTTTGATTGTTCTCACCTCTATTTTCTTTATCGGCTGTGACATACTTTGTTGTTTCAGGCATAAATTCAAGTATTTTTCTTGCTTGTAGGTGTTTGAAACTGTATTTTTATTTCTTTTCCTTACAAAGTCAGAACATCCATTCGTTTTTCACTGATGTGTATATCATTCACTCTAAAGTGTTTTTAAGTGTGTTTTCCCTTTTTTATGCTCTATTGTTCTCAGGACATGGAAGCTGCAGACATAGGTAAAGTCTCTTACCGTGAACTGATTGACTTCTTGCGAAAAGACATCATTCCTGACGATCTGTCCCGCTCAGAACTTCTCATCTTCCGAAAGAAAGCCAAGCACTACAAGGTGGAGAGAGGCATCCTCTATTTCATCCCGCCACACAAGCCTGATGAGAAGCCAAAGAAAGTCCTGAGGACTCAAGAAGAAAGGGTGGCTGCTGTCAAGGCAGCTCTCGGGGGTGAGACATCAGGCTGATGAAAATGTTAGATGACAACTGGCAACAATAATTAATAATTGTGCAGTTGAGCATGTATATCTCAAACACATTGCAGAGATGCCAACCAGTACGATTTTACGTATTTTAGTACGAGTTTTTGCCGAAAATACGCGAATACAACTTTTCATGAAAAAATACGCATCCTGGAATGCGAAAAATACGAGATTCAGCTTGGTCGAGTAAACCTAATTATCTCAAGTCCCATCTTTTGTCAAAAAATAGTTTCAGTATTGCGGAACTGGAATATTTGAAAACCAAGTCCGATAAGGTCAGTAAGTTCATTTTTGCCGGTCGCGATTGTGATATTATATTCGTTCAGCTTTTCACCGTCCTAGAGTACGTTTCACTTTCACACGAAGAGGCGGCAGGCGGAAGTGTATGTGACACCGAGGCTCGATCGGGAAAATCAAGTTCAAGATCTACTTTCGCTTTCGTTACCACCGAGAAGTTTGCCAGCGGTAGTCTGATAATGGAGTATTTGTGACAATGCAGGTTTTGCAGAGTAAACGCTGTGTTTCCGCGCAAATAAAATTTATTCAACGCTCGGACTCGTCTCTGTGCTGTCACTTGTGGAAAAAAAAGAAAAGAAAATACAAGCGTCGTCCGATTTTTAGATTGTCTGGCTCGCCATCGTGACTAGTCAGTGACCCTGCGCGCATTCGCATCATAAATAAATGTGGCATCGTGTGAGCGAAGACCGTCTTTGGTGGGAGTAAGTAACGGCGGTGCGAAGTATAGGACTACGGAATAGGGGAGGAGATTATTGATTTTTTTTAAAAGGTACACCGGGGGGGGGGGGGGGGGGTGAAGGCAACACCAGAGGACAAAAACCTGGAAGCAAATTTCAGAATTTTGATTAGAGCTCTCTGCAAAGCGCGAGTTGGTGCAGGTCGTGTGCGGAATCGGGACCCTTCATGCTTTGCAAGTCTGTATTATTGAAATAAAGTGTTCGCGTTTTATTGGATGGGTAATAGATCTAGAATCTAGTAAATTATACCTACAGTGTATGTTGTAGCTTTCTGTTCAAGACTGGCAGATTTTCAGTGTCACTGCATCTTGCCCTCCCACAGTTGTTACAACTCTCACAGTGCATGGGTCTACTTGAGCCATTCAAGTTATTGCTCTTCTCTGAGTTTGAGCAATAATTTTAGTCTCTCAGTTCATAATATGAATCATGACACCCAGACTGGTTCTTGATAGTTGAAATTCTTGTTCTAGGCCCTTCCGAACGCTCAAAGCAGGATTAATTTTTTATATAATGAGAGGAAAATATTTTAAAAGACTGAAATATTTAAGTCAAACAAGACCCCAGTGCGACACTGAACACTGACATTTTGTTTACTGGATACATGTATATTGTACTTGTGTGTGCTCCCTTTTTTGAGCAGGTGAGCTAGTAAATTTTTTAAAGGAAATATTGCTGGACACCCTGAACATTTTACTAGTTGGTCCGTCGGTGGAGGGGAATACACATTTTCCCCTGAAAATACACATTTTCAGATTTCCCAATACTCATTTTGGTTTTCTGTGGTTGGCATCTCTGACATTGGCGACTGACACATGTGTTTGACACATCCTTAATTCAAGTAAATTAGACAATGAAAAATAAGAGAAATATTGAAGAAAGTCGAGGGAAGTAACTGTTATGGTTGGAAAATAAATTACTGCCATCATTGAAACAGTTGCACGCACGCATGCACGCACTCAAAGACAAACATGATTCACACATCATGTGGTCCAGTGCCGCGCCACACTGTCTGTCTTTGATCACACCCCATCACGTAGCGCCCACTCTCGCATGACTAGATTCAAAGAGGTTTTAGCACCTTGCACACAATACACTACACGTTATATGCGATGATGGGCCTCGATATGAGTATTGTTTTGTTCCGTGTCGAAGCAAAGATAGTACATAACAAGATGGGCCACTCAGCCAAAAAAGTGTCCGCCGGAAGTTCGCTCTTTGCTTCAGATGGCGCTGCAGTCTGTTTTGAAACTCTCTTTCGTTTTTCCAGAAGAAGAATAGGAATAGCACCCCCTTGCTTGCGCAGATCGACTGCTGTTCATCAGCAGTTCGGGTTTGTTCAGTGCGGAGTTTTAGGTTTTATTTTTTATTTTAATGACCTCTCGCCTTTCATTCTAAAGTCAAATTAAACAAAGAAAACAATCACCCTTTCCTCCAGAAGAGTTTTTTTGTCTGCGTAACCATTAAAAAAAAGTGTTCTTCCTAAATTTATTTAAAAACTTGCTAGTTTCACTTTGATTTTTTTAATTCAAGAAGGGTAACTCTGTTCGCAAAGGATGCGCATTTGCGAAGAGGGCACCGCCGAATTTTGAGGACACTTTTTTAATTGGCTCAAAGAGAGGCATGGCCCATCTTGTTGTATACTACTTTGGTCGAAGCAAGAGAAGGGAAGCGAGTGATGCTGATTAGACTTCTGACTGAAAAAAAACCTGTTCTTACTTCAGATCATGATCTTGACAATGTAACCAAACTGGTCAGAACAACCTGCTGTCTATTTGACCAGGTTTTCGGGATGGTTATTTGACAAACTTATGCGGGTGTTCGAGAATACTGTGCTGCCAATACAAAGAAAACATAATGGTTCAGTCGGGGAATGGCATATTTGACTCGCTATCCGAGATTTCGAGTTTTATGTGTTTTTGTTATCTGTACCTGACTGTAAATGTTTCACACCAAGTCATCACACTTAGGAGGTGGGCTGCTTCAACCTTTCCTGTCAAGAGTCAATTCAGGTTTAGTGGGATGACATCTCAGCAGACAGATGGTGGCATCTGATAAAGATTTTCTTTACTTCGGAATTGAACTGGTGTTTTTCTCTTGCAACATCGAAGAGCCTAACCACTATGCCACAGACATCAGCACTATTATCAGTGAATTCTCATCAATCTTATCCATGTCGGTTACTAGTTCGGTTTCCTCCTCTGGTACCAGCAACTAAAATGTTGTCTCTAGAGATCAGTTCCTGTTAGGAAATACTTTGATGATAACAGATGTGTCTTGCATGAGTCTTGACTTGTTTTTTCATGCCATCAAGTTACTAGTGAGTGCCAATCTCCGCCGATTTTTGGGGGGTGGGATTCATTTTTTTCCAGTATCTGAATTTAGATTTCAATTCAATCATTATCAGCTGACCAAATAATTTATGGTCATGACTGCGATTAAAGAGTAATAATTATTTATGGTTTGCAAAAATAGATTTTGATGATTTTATTACCCGAATACCAATCGGAAAATAAAAATGTGCGTGCCCTTTTCTTTTTTTTTTTTTTTAGATCACACCTGTAGCCAATCTGAGGTACTGGCAGCCATAAGGAGGTGGGCCTTCTGGCCAGACATGCCTAAAGACGTTGAACAGGAGCTGAGCAAATGGTGCAACCATCAGTCTAAGGCAAATGCTGAGAAATTGGCAGAGGAGGCGGAGAGAAGACAAATGATGAAGGACTGGAGACTGAAACGATTCCAGGACTACTTTGCCGGCAAGGTAATCATGACTGGTTTATTGTGTCATCAGGTGCACTTTGGGTCTATTGGATATTAGAAGTTTAGGTTTCTCACTAGAGACTGTAAAAATGAGTCTACATAACAAGAGGGGCCACTTCTCTCTTTGAGCCAATTAAAAAAGTGTCCTCAAAATTCGGTGGCGCCCTCTTCACAAAAGCGCACCTTTTGCGAACAGAGTTATCCTACTTGAGTTTTTAAAAATCAAAGTGAAACTAGCAAGTTTTTGAATGAAATTCGGAAGAACGCTTTTTTAAAATGGTTACGCTGACAAAAAACCTCTTCCGGAGGAAAGGGTGATCGTTTTCTTCGTTTAATTTGACTTTAGAATGAAAGGCGAGAGGTCATTAAAATATAAATAACCTAAAACTCCGCACTGAACGAACCCGAACTACTGATGAACAGCAGTCGATCTGCGCACGCAAGGAGGTGCTATTCCTATTCTTCTTCTGGAAAAATGAAAGAGAGCTTCAAAACAGACTGCAGCGCCATCTGAAGCAAAGAGCATACTTCCTGCATACACTTTTTTGGCTGAGTGGCCCATCTTGTTATTTACTATCTTTGACTGAAATGATTCAAAGATAGTTGTCCTCTTAAGACTATTATAGTTAAGTTAGTTCACATACCATCTTGTTAGCTAAGTTATCCCTGCAGTATTCAGCTAAGATTAAAGCTGGTCATGCTGTTCTCAGATCCCTTCTATAAAGTTAAATGATTCTTTCTTCCTCAGGATATCTGTTCTAAAAGAGAGAATTTGGACACGTTGTTCCCACCACTTGGTAAGTGAGAAACTTTTAGGTTTGTCTAGTGTACAGGGACAGTGATGAGCAGAGGTTCATTGTAAATTATACTTACAGATTTTCCATGGGGGTATTTTAGTTATTAAAAATTTTTTTAATAAAAAAAAAAATAAAGATTGTCACTTTTGCTCTCTTATGAAGACAGCAACTGTCTGGTCCTTTTGTAAAATAGTATTTTCATGTTTTTATTTTAGTTGTAAGGTATGTTTGAAATGTATACAAGCAAAGTATTTGCGGCTATGTTTTCAACTTCTCTGAAGTAAATTTTATGAAGAATAGTTTATTTTGACTCTTTTTATTAATCAGTTTGAGAAAGTTGCTCTTGTTGAAAGTGAGAAGAGCTGCTGCTATTTATTTCCTCAACTGATGTGACTTTTGGTTTTTCTCCAGCGGAGCCTGCAAAGGAAGAGACATCACCGCCGGCAAAACCAGACTTGGTGGCAAAAGCAATGGAGAGCGCCATGCTGTCCTCCAGCCCCCCAGAGAGCGGAGCTGGCACCGATGTCAACGCTGAGGTCATGGAGGAGGGATCGGAGGTGGAGTCAACTGTGATGATTGACGTTGCGGGTGATGGGACTGTGGTAGTAAATACAGGCCTCAAAGGGCAGGACAAAGGTCAGTGTAATTCTTCCTTTTTGTCTTATTTGCATTTTTTCTTTAATCATTTACTCACTATATAAATATTTGCCATTATCAGTTAACTACTATAGTCATTGGAGGGCGCCGAATACTTGCCCGATGCTTAACACTGCTAGGGTATGCATTTCTACGAAGTCTAGGCAGATAGTCCATTTAGATATGATTGTAAATGGGACTATAAGGTGAAAGTTGAGTCCCTCTTCTTTCTTTGAGTTTTTGAACGGTTGAAATCGAATCAGAAACCATGTGTTTGTGAATTTTAAAAGTTAACATGAATGAAATGTAAGGTGGTATGAAGTGGTTTTGCAGTCCTGTAGCTTGGGTCATGGTTTAGGGAGGTTACTCAAATATAAGAAAAACAGAGAGGTGGACTTATCTTCTTTCCGTTTATCGCTGTTTTCAGATTAACCATGTTTGGTTTAAGCAGACTCCTCTGTTGAATATAAGACGTAGCATCTGTTCTGAAGTATGAATTGAATTTCTCTATTGTTTTCTGTTGTATGCATATGTTCTCGTTGTTTTTTCCCCCCCACAGAAATGACTTCAACAAGCACAGATGTACAGCAAAGCACCACTGAGCCCTCTGCAGTTCAAGGACAAGTTCCAAAATTAGGTCAGTGGTCTCAGGATGTGGTCTTAGTGTTTTGTCTCTGTCAGTCATTCGTGTGACTGTTCTGGCAGCACCACTGTTCAGTACAGTGTGACAAAAGAAAGAAAGGATTTAGCAGATATTGCTTACGCTGTCGACGAATCTGCACTTTATTTCAGTTTTAATTCACAACTTAACACCTTACAATTCTTCATAGTGGGTGGTTTACAAGTACTCTGGTGTGGTTTGCTCCTTCCTTCCTATCTTTATAGATTGTGTAGCTTTAGAGCTTGCTGTTGAGTGGGGAGTTGGGCCATACAAATGCTGTCTATCATTATTATCATCATTTATCGTCCACTTCTCTCCTCTTTTTGTTTGTATGTTACACTCTATTAACACTTCTAATCTTCAGCACTTATATGACCTGACCGTGTTGCAAATGCTGTAAAATTCTTACTTAAATAAAAGTTTGCATACTGTCTTGATCATTCTGGAACCAAATGTTACCTTTTTTGTGTGAAGCCCAAAGCTAGTGGAGTCAGGCTGGTTATGTGACACAAATGTCATGGTCTACTGAAATGAATGTGTCTGAATTCTACCCAAAGTCACTCAAAGACACACTTGAAATTCACTTGTGTTTAGTAGAATACGTCGTTTATTGACTGAAATTTTTTTAACAGAAATTTCAGAATCTGCTTCGGACAAAAATGCTGTCATTGAAGAAGAGTTGGAAGACGAAGAGGAACACGTTGGAGAGATGGAGGAAGTGGAAGATGGTGACCCTGAGGAGTCCTGGAGTCTAAAGACTGCAGATATGTTGGAAAGGATTCAAGTTTCACAGGTTACGAGAACAGTTTTCTTTGGGTTGTTTAAGAAACGTTTTAAAAAAAATTACTTTAATTTTATTCAGTCTGGATATCGTCAAGAAAATAAACAAAAAGTCACCGGCTTCTAATGTAATATTCTTCACAAATAATTAGCAAAACACGTTTTTTATCACATACTGTAAAACATGATGTAGTACATCTACAAATGACGTAAACAGTTTCACAAATGATATAGATGCAAGTGTGGATGCTTAATTTGATGTAAAATCTCTTACATGTGACTTTATTACTTACTTCATAATATGGTAGTTTTTGTACTATCTGTGGCTAGGAAACTTTCATAATGTAGCTATAATGTTCCTTTTTCCTTTTTCTTTTTTTTTTTTGTTAACATACTTTGATAAATGCGGTTTTATAATGTGATACGTTTTTAGTTTGTGAGGGAATAGTCTTTTGTCAAGCATCACATACTCTTGTCGTACAAGCGAAATATTTGTGCCTAAGATGTATTTCTTATGCATGAATGGTTTAAATATTGTTTGGAGTGATTAAATTATCTAAATGGGAAATTTTTTCATGGCTGAATCTGCTGACCTGACTAAATTTTGGTTCAGTTTTTGTTTATTTCATGTGACTTTGAAATGTTTTTCCAGACAGTGGAGGAGTCATCACCTGTGAAAAAGATTGGGAAGCGTCGTCGCTGTGAGGTGTGTCAGGAGATAGTCCGTGGGGAAAACAACTATAAAGGTAAGGGCCTCATAGTTTTTGCCATTGACTGCTTTTCTAAAGGGATTTGTCACAGTCTTAATTCTTTCCACACTGCTCGCTGCACACCGTGATAAAATAATTGTGCTTAGAAAGAGTTAATGCAAGATTTTACAGTACATCAGATGCTTCTCTGTGCTGTTTTTTTAAATGGATTCTGCACCTTATAGTTTTAATGGCCATGAAAATTAAAATCATTTGTTTCATTTATCGAAATGGCTCATTTTAAAAGAAAAATGCATGCTGCATTTAAGTGACACCACTTGTTCTATATTATGTTCACCTGCGTCCCATAGCTTATCTGTGACGATCATCTCTTTTCTAGCTGCAGATTAAGTGTTGCCTTCACTAGACGGTTTGTCTGTTCCTCAGAGCACATGTACAGACATACAGGTATAAAACCTTTCTCGTGCTCAAACTGCCCCAAGAAGTTCACAACCAAGAAAGGACTCCGTATGCATTTACGACGACACACTGGCCATCGCCCCTATCTGTAAGTTTAAAAGTTGTCTTTTTAAAACAAATTTTTAAAAAGTATGTAGAGGCATATTAGGTAGGTGATTTTAATGTTACATTCTAAAATGTTATTTATTGAGTCTTTTTTTTTTGTCTGACTGGACCCTCGGTCAACAGATCAGCACAAAACCCCCCCCATTGGCATAAGTTGTAGTACCACCAGAAAAAAGATACTTCCCCGTTCTTTCACAAAGGTTGTTTCTTTTGAGTGGCATCCTATGAGTGAGCAGATGGAGTGGTTGGAGGGCACCGCTGGCAGGTCATATTTTTTCACTCCGTTGTTTCTGCCTTTATATCTTGCTTATATTTTGCTTTTCCATGCACTGAATAGCCATTATAATAAAGTAATAATAAGAATTGCATTTATATAGCCCATATCCACACCCTACGGCATGTACTATGTGCTTTACAACTATTATTACCCCAGCAAACTATACAAGACTTAGAAACACTCTCAGCCTCCAAGGAAGCATGCAGTGCAAGCTGCGGATTTCATGCGCTCAAACATTATCAAACTGACAAGACCTTTCGCAGTCTATAGCCCAGTACCCATTTCCACCTGGATGAAGTGAGGAAAATTTGTGTGAAGTGGCTTCTAAAGGATGGAACGCCGGGGCCCCGAAAGGATTAAAACCCTTATGGTTGCGAGTCCGAGAGTCTAATCTCTAGGCCACCGACGCCATATTATTCTGCACTTCTCTTTTCCAAAACTAAAAAAAAAAAAAACCCTCAAAACTATTGAGATTCAGTTGAACCAATCCAAAATGACCGCTCATTGGCGAGGGAAAAACTGATCTTGGACAGGTGGTCCTCTTAGACACGATCATTATAATGTAGAAAAAAACATTGGGTGGTTGTTTGTAAAGGTGAATTCTTGGAAAGGTTTGACTATAGTTCCATGTTTTGTTGGTGGGATAACTGATACATGTACATCCCTCCAGTTCTCTCTGTGTGTAGTATTCTGGGCATGTTGTGTTTATGAACTTCAATGTCATTCTTGTAATTCCTGTGCTCTGCTCTGATGAAGGTAGTGGTGAGCGTTTCCCTCGTGTGCTGTCTCCCCTTCCAGGGACATAATAGTCAGAAGTGTCTTATACAGTTGATGCTGCCAAATCGTAATCCTGTCATGATGGAATCTCTGTGCTCCCCATAATACACGATCTTCTATAATACATTTGCCTTCACATCGAAATTTGCCCTTACGAAGACTGGGAAAACGCTTTACCCACTCAGACCTGATGTGAAACAAAACTCCCCAGTTTGGTTGGTATCACCTGTTTTAACCTTTTCGCCCTGCCTCCAGGCGATGAAGAGGGGAAGGAATGTGGTTTACGGGTAGCTGTTACCCCACCAATGTGAGCCCTGCATAGTGTAGATGGATCAGGGTGGTGTGGGTGTGAAATCTCATAGCTGCTTGCCTTCAAAGTGCTCAAGTAGTGCGCCAGCACAGGGACTTTCCTGGTGTTAAATTTTACTACTGCTTGATCGTATGGCCAGCAGAAAGAAAGTTCTCCAAATCATTGTTACAATGGGGCAGGGTGGCATTGGTTGATTATGCTTGATTACATCGATGGATGGAAGCAGAGGTGACATTTAATTGCTATTAATTTTAATTGATCAAACAGTGGTCCTTATGAGATGCAAGCACTGGTGGCAATGGATTAGTAAGACTGATGCATGCCTTTATCAGAGTGGCTGGGGTAGCACTTTAGAGGTGTGAAGTTTTGACCACTGCTTGCCAACCAGACAGGCAACCATTGATCTCACTGAGTGTGTTGAGCCTTTTGGACCCTCCCCTAATTTCCTCTGTCCGAGACAAAGTTGTTTTTTTCTGGCCTGGCTTTTGTGCGATTCCATCTGGGACAGTCCAACTTTCAGTGCGAAAAATGATACTGATTGTGATCTGTATTATTGTGGTGTGCATAGTTTTGTTTAATCCAGACAGGAATCAAATATTTGATAGAAACCTCATACCATGTATTTGGCATTTTATTGTAAAGTATTCAGGCAGCTTGAAATTTACAAATGAATTGAAATACTGTAGTCTAGCATAATGGTTCAACTTAAATGCAGGCTAGTGACACAGTGCTTGTGTGTTTTAACGGTGGTTTCTTGACCTTTTTTTTCCTATTTCCAGGTGTAACATTTGTGGCCGGGGTTTTCCTCGTTCGGCCTCTCTGCGCTACCACATCAAGACCCATGACAAAGGCGGGGGCGTGCCAGTTGTTTGTGACATCTGTCATCGCACTTTCACAACGGAGAACAGATTGCAGAAACACAAGCGATTCAAGCACCCTGCCCAGGCGCCTGTGTTCTGCTGTGAGCAGTGTGGAAAAACCTTCACTGCTAAACGTGAGTTTTGTGTGTTTTGTTAAATGTGGGTTTGTGTGTTGTAAATGTGAGTTGTGTGTGTTGCTTTAGTGTGTGTTGCTAAATGTGAATTGTGTGTGTTGCTTTAGTGTGTGCTTTGTGTGTTGCTAAATGTGAGTTGTGTGTGTTGCTTTAGTGTGTGTTGCTAAATGTGAATTGTGTGTGTTGCTTTAGTGTGTGCTTTGTGTGTTGCTAAATGTGAGTTGTGTGTGTTGCTAAATGTGAGTTGTGTGTGTTGCTTTAGTGTGTGTTTTGTGTGTTGCTAAATTTGAGTTGTGTGTGTTGCTTAGTGTGAGGTAAGCGTGTGTTGCTAAAATGTGAGTTGTGTGTGTTGCTTAGTGTGAGTTGTGTGTTGCTTTAGAGTGAGTTGTGGGTGTTGCTAAATGCGAGTTGTGTGTGTGTTACTAAATGTGAGGTTATTAAAACTATTGGTTGTTTTCCCTTACGTGAATTGTGTGTGATGTTAAATGTGAGTTATCAATTGTATTGCTATACATGAATTGCGCATGTTTTTATATATGTGATTTGTTGTTTTATATGTTGAATAAGAATGGCAGGTTGACTTGCTTGGCATCAAGTTAAAAAAATTATTTTTTGTAATGCCCAGGGAGCTTGAAACGTCATGAAGAGGCTCATCAGGGCATCCGAAAGTATGTGTGTCAGTATTGCAAGCGCAGCTTCTTCCGCAAGGAGTACCTCAACTACCACCTGGTCTCACACTCGAATGAAGACCCGTCCCTGGCTAGCTACAAGCTCAAGGTATTGGCCGACTCCTGCAATATAGTTCTTGAGTAGTGTACAGCCCTTAGTCAGCTGCTTGCACTGCTTGCGTCCCAAGAAGCTGGGAATGTTTCTGAGTTTTTTCTCTCTCTAGTATGGTGTTAAAAAAACTCTAATTAGAGGAGCACCATAAAGCGCTCAAAGCTTATACTCGTATGGAATAGAGTGCTCTATAAATGCAAATTATTATCATTATTATTATTATAAGCTCAATTTGTACCATGTAAGACTACAAAGTGTATGGCCCTGGTTTGAATCCCCAATGGGGTGGTCTGAACTTCGGTTGATTTGGGGAGTTTTTAAGGCTCTACACCCATTTAGTTTGGTTCTATTGGAGACGGAAGTTATATTTGGAGATCCCAACTCTTAAATAATCTCACAGGGCGGAAAGAGGCTTTAAGACAATTTCACCATTTTTTTAGCAAAATTTTAAATACAAGAAAGCCTGCATTTCTGTTTCCTTTCTCTTATTTTGTTGAAACAAGCTAAGACAGATAAGTGTATGATACAGAGTCGTTTCTGGCAACTTCAGTCACACCTTTACTTATGAAGAAAGAGGAATCATTTGATTAATTTTGTGTTATATTTTTGTTTAGGCTTTTCAGCGTATGATGGTTTGATGCTGTTGAGTGAATATATATAACTGAGTACTAGAGGGACTTAAATAATAAAAAGCTTTTGTGTAGTAGGCCCTACATATTCCTGCTCATTGCGTTTTACAATCTATTACCTCAGAAGACCCTCAGCAACATTCTCAGTTTCCTGGGAAGCATGCAGCATTCTTACAAGCCAAAATGAGAAATAGGGAGGGTATTTAACTGAAATGTTTGGTTTTTTTGTGTGTTGCACAGCCAAATTATGTTTTTTCATTTACAAATTGACTGCCTGGTGCAAGACTCCACCATATGCCATTCTGAAAACGCATGACAGAGTCTCATGCTGAGCTGTGGAAATGATGTTTGTCAATGTCTTTGTTCTTTTTCTCACAGGGTCGTCACAGAAAACAGCAGCAAGCAGCGGCCAGAAAACGGGAGTATGTGTCCATTGTCTGTGTGGATTCCACGGGTGCAGAGACTGGACAGAATGAGGAGGTCTACGGGCAGCTTGTGGAGGTCACCGACCCCTCGGAGTGGTCACAGGTCTGTAAGATAGATTAGTGGATTAATCTGTTGAAACTGCAGTTGCAGGCTTGTTATGTGCTCTGCCATAAGAACGGTATAGCGTGGCTTTACTTCACAGAAATTTGCAGTGCACTTTGCAGAGAATATCCCAAATTATGGGATGTAAACTATGGTCTTTTGGTGATAAGCTTGTTTTATCAAAGAAAGAGTTCACACAAAGCATTAAAGTCATTGAATGGGAAAACATACCGTCCAGTTTCCGAATATTTTAAAATCATTTGTATCTTTAGATCACCTACTTGTTTTAAAACACCTCAATCGATTCGAATCTATTCTTACCATGAAATGATATCTTGTGTAAAATCAAGCTGGGTTGAAACAACCTGAAAGTGACATTTGCGTAGAAAGATGGATTGTTGTTTGGTAGAGGTCCCTTTGAGCTTGGTGTCTAAAGAGGTCATGTATAGTCATTTCTGTTGAAATTTCATTGGGTGAAATAAAATAATATTTGTAATGAGGCTGCAAGTAGTGAAACTCAATTACATTTATTGGTATGTACACAAACACAAGCAAACTTATGAGCAAACACTTGTCCCACTTCGCTTGCACAGATTTACGGTACCCTGGGAGATGTAATTGCGCAGGATAAAGTGATCGGGATATACAGCTGTGGGACCCACTGGAATGCGAGAGTGCCAGAACATGTTTATTGATGTCAGAATACATGGGACCAGGAGAATATGGTTTAAAAAACTGGGGACAAAAAAAAAAAATGGGGGGCTTAATACGTCTGAACAGATGGCTGATGAAATGTATATAGTCACCAGTATAGTTTTCTCTTTTTTTCCAGCAGGTTTCGGGCAGAATAGAGGAGCAACGAGTCCCAACTGTATTTGGCCTGGAGGGTGGGCAGAGAGTTTTGTCCAGCGCCGACCAGGCAGTGGAGGGAACGTCTGTGGTAATGGTTGAGGAACAGCCCAATGGTCAAGGGGAGGTGGAAGTCCGCCACATCATCATGCCAGGCGGGCACATACACGAACAGTCGCAGCAGCTACATCGCAAACCTCAGACCATCACCGTGCAGCACACCGGAGGGGTCTCGTCTGCTTCCCATGTGAGGTCGATGGACGGGGTGATGAACGCGATTGTGCGGCCGGGTGAGCAGCAGCAGGCTCAGAGCATCGAGGTGGTTCTGCCGTCTGGTGCCCACACTTTCACGGTGCCGTGCAGCCGGGATCAGCTCACGGATACTGGTCAGGAGACGGTTCAGTACCAGGTGGAGTGCCTCTCGGGTGAAACTCTGACAGAAGCAGATGTGAACGCGATCAGAATGCTGGCTCATGCCTCTTTGAGCGGCACCCACATAGTGCAACAGTGATTTCTGAGGATAGTTTTAATTTATAAACTGCACCCGCCTGTCTTTGGCATTTTGTGAGATGATCTCCGGGATGATGGAAAATTATATTCAGAATTTGAATGCCATTGACACCTCATGAATAATGCAACAGTTACCTCTGGGTGTGATCAAGAATCATGCACGCTTCTAAATTTGTCCAGCGTTTGCATTATCTCTTGAATTACTTCCTTATGTTGAATTGAGAATTTTTTTTGTAATGAAATGCTGTAGGGACCAATGTGACTTCTGCCCTTACAACTTTTTTGGCCCTGTCTTTCAAAAGATCCTCTGTCTTATTTGGCTTTGTCAATAGTGATTGCAATCTTGTCTGTTCCTCCCAGTTATTAGTTTTAGTTTTAGCAATGTTTTACGGTGCTTGCAACTGCATAAGGTCATATGAGGGCCAAAGGGTGGATGTCAACAGAGAAGTCTTTACAGGGAATCAGGCGTACTCCTCACCTCTCTAGCCTCAACAGCACAAAGTCTACTTTGACTATCAAGGCATCCCGGAAATAGTTCACAAGGGAGTGACAAACATACAAAAGAAGTAGAGGAATGACGATAGTAAGGATGAGGAAAGAAAAAGCAGCAGTTCCCCCTATGTTGTTCTGGCACAGTATGAGCATGACATTGATAAATCAACCCATTTACAATTGAATGGTTTCATGACAAAACACCATATATGTGTGGGTGCCTGGGAAAAATAGGCACATTGCAGTTTTTTTAACTTTTAAGACTAAAAGTGCCATGTTATAGTTCTTTCAATTCTCTACATTGTGCTTTCAAAGTTTAAACATGTCTTAATTTTCAGCCAAGTTATGGCGTTTTGAAGTTACCAACCGTTCAAAACAAAGTTTTGAGAAAAACGCGTCTAAAGTCGCGGAACACTTTTTTTCTTGAAAATTTAAGGTTCTAATCCGTATTGCAGCTAGTTTACAGCAGTTATACCCTCTTTAGACATTGCTACAGTGGAGTCCACTTATAACAAGTCCGCAAAAAACGAGAAGTCTGTTATAAAGACACTATTCTAAAACCGCGTTTTTTTCTCCTCTTTACTTTTGTATAAAATACTGCTATAGGGCAATCAGACAAAAATGCGAGTCGGTTATAGCGGGATATTGCCGCAGCTGTGCACAGTGCATAGGCCAATTATACATAGTGCAAAACCTCGCCAGTTGAGAAACTTGTTGGTGATCTTGCTAAACAAAAAATCGGAGAGCCCATGTGCGTCAACAATGAAGGCCGGAGCGACTGAGTAGGGAGGTTGTGGCATGCGCAGACAAGCAGAATGCATCGCGTGATAGGCCAGCATAAGCCTAGTTTAGATTATCCAGGCCTACCATGCCTCTCACCTCTCCGATGCAGGGATGGAGAGGTCACAGCAATGTGATGGATAGAGCGAATGTGTGACGTGCGCAAGCAGACAGAATGCACTACTGGGTGGGGTGGGGTGGAGGAAAACACAGCGGACGAGTTAGCCTAGAGCCCTTTCTTTCTGATCGCCAATGCTGAGTTGTCAGTCGACATCGCTAGATCTAGCGCTAGAGAAAGAAACCTGATTTGAGTTTTGATCAAGTAAGACCTAGAGGTCATGTTGAAACAACATCTTCTACGCCATCTCCGTTTTTTCTTCAACTGGCTTGTTTCTAGCTCAAGTGAGCTTTGCAGCATCCTGCTGGCAAATCCAACACAAATCCGTCGCAGGAGGCATAGTCATAATGAAGGGCAAGAGGGTTCCCCAGATCCTTGTAAACGAGCGATAGCTAGCAGACAGTGCGCACATTCTTCGGGTCCCCATCTTTCTCCACCACATTAATGTATTCATTGAAAACACCCTTCCTTGTGGATACCCAGTTGTGAGGAGTACGACATGGTAACGTGATAGCATGGTCTTTTGCATAGTTAACGATAAAGTCCACAACTCGCTTAGTGTCACTGAATGCCAGGGCATCGTGGGGAACCTTCTTAGAATTTTTGTGCTGACGTGGCACTGTGCCGTTTTCTTTGTAATGTTTTGATAAGCTTGGTCAAAGTCAAAGTACCCCTGCTCATAGAATGCAGGAAACAGGATGTTTGTCTGCAAATTCTTTGACCACGATGGTAGTAGTCACTTCAAGATGCTTTCCTCTCTGTCTGAGCACCTTTCTTAAATCTATATGTAAATTCAGACAGATGTATACCAGAGCTAATTTTTCCTAAAAGTACCATGTTCTTGTGATCCCTGTCAAGGGAGATAATTTTGAAGGCAGGTACTGAATTTCACCTTCCCCGATCATAGTGTAGCAGGGCTTACTGTCGAACAGCTTGCAGGCACATACCGCTTTGTTACAGAGGGAACAGTACAGTCATTGTCTTCAGTGGTCCTTGTGTGCAGAGTCTCGTTGAGAATAGCAGCTCCTACATCTTGGACGACAGTGAAGTCATCACCAACCTCTGCATCAGGATGGACAGCAGCAGCTATAGGGAAAGAGGGGGAGGAGGAGGATTTTAAAAAAACATGTGTTTAGTTTGCAGCTTATGTGTCCTTGACACCTAAAGTAGCACCGTTAATCTCCATAAACTTCACAGTGCTGATCTTGAAGGTATTAGATTTTTTTACCATCTTCGCAGCAGCCTTTAAGATGAAGCTGTGCCAGTCTCTGAGGTACTGGTACACACGCCCATGGTGTTCGATTATATTGAATGTACTCCCTTGGCATGAGGATGGTGGGGTTTCTGTGTATTTCCTCTGTATCCTTCCAAAGACACAATCTGCAGGTAGGAAGCTGTGCCCCCTCACTGGGAATGTGTATGTAATCCGCAGGTGAGGACATTCCTGCTTGCAGAAAGCCAACAGCATGGCAAGAACATTAAAGTTTTTGTTCTGTCCATAACAGGAGTTGGGGAAGATCCGTAGCTCTGCTTGTGTCATCAACTTTTGTTTGATCACAGAGGAAAGGAAATGGCGCACGGCTAAAGCAACCATGTTGGAATCTTTTCCTTTTTCTGTCTCCAGATGAATGTCACTTTGTCATCTTTCCTCTGCCAACCGTCCGCATGGTGCACCACAATGCCAAACAGATGCAGGTACCGTTGACGACTATTGTAATTGCAAGGTCGAAAAGACTGTACTTACCTTCTGAGTTATATACAAACACTAAACTAAAATACTGATGGATCAAATTGGCTTCCTCGTGGCGCTGCGTGGTCTACACTGGCCGGCTCAGATCAAATCGTTGGGCCCTCGGACGTCACTTCACCGGGAGCTTCGGACCGTCTGTCACTGCTATCTCGACTACTAAGACGGAAGGGAATGTACAGAGTTCCCGCCCTGCCTTTATAGTAAATTCTTCAGCACCCCCTAGTGTCATGGGGCGGCAACTCTGTTCGGCCTGCGCCAGCGCCCCCTAGTGCCATGGGCCCGTTACTCTATCTCACTGTTTGATTACGCTGATAACATGTGGTATGGTGGCGTCGGTAGCCTACTGGTGAGATTGCGGGTTCGGGGTTCGAGTCTCAGCTCGGTCCGACGTTGTGTCCATGGGAAAGGCACTTTACACGAACTTCCCACTTGGCTCAGTCCTATCAGAGACGGACGTTAAATTAGGAGGTCCCGCCTCTTAAATAACCTAATAGTGTTGATAGGGGCGGGGCGTTAAACTCATACCATTTCACCATTTTCACCTTGTGGTATGCCTCGCCAATGGGTGTCCTAGGGAGTACGATGTTCCCCATTATGTCGAAACATATTGTGGTCGTATCTTCCACAAGATTCAAAAGCTTGCAAAACTAATAGAGCCTTTCAAGTGCTTCAGCTCCTTTGGTGTGTGCTCTTCCTTGCCATCCCTGTGTTTTAAGATCGTCAGTGCCTCTAGGATGTCCATTCCAAGATTGGGGCGGAAATTTGTCCTGTTCTTCTGCACACAGGAAAAAATCCTCTCACAATGGGCACTGCTGGATTCACAATTCAGAAAGTCTACACCAAACGCTTAAATTTGAAAGGCAATCTACAAAACTTACAACAGCTCTAAATCTAGATACATTTTAATCATCGTTTATCGATTAAAAATGATGGGACCACAATATCCAAAGGGTGTCCCAGAGTCTAGACCTAGATTTAAGATGTCTTGTTTCCTTCAACGTACCTGTTGCTGAGTCCGCGAGAACAGGCTGGGAAAGCAATCCCGAGGACACCGCCAGTGTTGTGGGATTTATCGTTCTCACGACAACAGGATACATCTTGTCCCTGGCGTCATTTTGACCCGTCTGTCGAGATAATGAACAGGCCATGACGCATCCGTGTGAGTGTGAGCAATGTTGCTTTGTCGTGTCTTTAGCCACCGCTGTTATTTTAGTCCTTGCACATTGAAAGGCTGAGGCAATTTTCGAATCAGGAAACGTGTCTTTCACGGTTTTGGTGAATTGATCCGCAACCGCAATAGACAGGTTGAAGTCAGCAATCATATTCACTGTCTTGACCTCAGCAGTCATAACAGTCTGATAGAATTTTATATCTGCTGGAGTCTTGCCATTGTCATTTTTGAGGTGCTCGTTTATAGGCTTCATGTTGGAACTGGCCTTGGACGCTGACACATGTTTTTGCGAGTGTACATGTATGTATGTATAGTATAAGGTTTTACGGCGCTCGCAACAGCTAGAGTGTACATGATGCTTGAGGTCATGTCGCCCTGATCGTTTTATGCTCACGTCTGTTTTGCAATAGCAACAGAACGCGAATGTTTTACCCTTGCTGGTTTCCTCAATCCGAGGGAAGGCCACTTTGTAAACTAGAAAGAAACTTCTGCTCACGTTCAACTTTGGGTTTCTTCGCTGCCGGTTTCGTTGACTCCATGTTGTCAATTCAAGAAGAAACAAACGAATGAAAGAAAGAGAAACCGCATGGACCTTCATTCATCAATTTGCGAAACAAAGACAAAGAAAATGGTCGCCAATCGCTGCAGGAGATGAATCGGTCGATTGTTTCACAACAGCGAGTAATTTACAATACAAAGAATGAATAATTGTGACTATTCGTCTCTGAAATCACCTCTAAAAAATATTCGAGTTTTTATTCGCTTTCTGTAACATCTGCAGTAGGCTTAATTTCTGGCCAATTTTTCAGTTTCACACGTAAACTAACTCCAACTTCCGCTCAAAAAGAAGAGATTATTAGGTTTACTCGCCCATGCTGAATCTCGTGTTTTGCGCATTCCAGGATGTTGTTGTTTTCAAATCCCTTTAGCTGCTTGCATTTCACTCTTGGCAGTGCATTGCCTCCCTCAAGTAACCACATGTCCTTGCCATCTGGTCAACGCCAGAGTAGAGCAGGCTGTGTAAGTCTGTAGGTGTGTGTAGGAGCTTGCGTCGAAGAACTGCCAGGTTTGGGCAGTGATCGCATTCCAGGATGCATATTTTTTCATGAAAAGTCATA